GCCCCCCTCGGCCTCCCAAAGTGCTGGGATTACAGGCGTGAGCCACTGCGCCCGGCCCAAAGTAGGGTAGAAGTTATCAGATGTAACGTAATTTGCCCAAGATTACTTGTTTATAATAAATGGCAAAACCAGGTCTAAAACCAAGGTTTTTCAATTCTAAGGTTAATATTCTTTCCATTGTATAAAACACTTTTTCCACTGATACACACAAACATGAGAAAAGTAAAATAATTCTGTCATGAGCTAGTTCTTCTTCATGGAAATAAAGAGAAGAAAGATTACGTATATACACACAGACATACATATACATATACACAGACACACACTTTATTTTATAATCCACATGGTAGCAATTATTTATAGAAAAGGTTGATTCATGTTACATTAAGCTTAATCAAGAAAATCAATTCCAATTATACCTTTATCAAAAACATTGTTTTACTTTTCCTCCAGCAGCTGATAAACTGTATTAATTTTGTATAAAACATTTTGTATAAAGCATTTCCTTAATAAAAGGGACAGAGAAATCGATTCTCCCATTTAAAGAACATTAATACTACACCACCCTCAAAACTAGTTCCATGATTGTTTGTTAAACATTTTGAGGGACAAAGGAGTAAAATGACAAGTTCTTCCATTACAAAGCTTACATCCTGATAAATACTTTAGATAAAAAATAATTCAATTAGTATCACAATATAACTAAAAGATATTAAAGTCTTTTCTAATATTGAGAACTCTCTCCAGCTATCACAGAAATGAGTAGAAATGACTCACGGTTGCATCGTTTTTGTACAAATCGTAATTTGCAGGCTGTTCTGTAAGTTGATAGTCGTATGACATCAAAATTCTGAGCACCTGAAAAAAGGCAAACAGAAATGCTCAACTAGATTTACCACTTAGTTTCCAAACGCTAGGAAGTGACTCCATTCTACTGTATTGCCATAGTATACCAATCAGCTAGGACTTCTTCTGTTTAAAAACTTAGGGTCAATTAAAACAATGGAGGGAGAAAAGGACAGGAAACACATGCATCCCCAGCACGTGCCGGAACTCTGCTAGTCTTGCTCCTGATAGCCTGTCTGCTTATCGGAGAAAGCTCCAAGGAGAGGAACACTTACGAGGTGAGTGAGTGAACTACATGATTAGGAAAGGGGAGTAGGGTGGCATCATGAGAAAGACCCAAGCCTTGAGTCAGAAAAGCTGCATTTCTGTCCCAGCCTGACCAACCACAGAATACAACTGTGGTCATGCCCCTTGACTGTGGCCATGCGGTGTGCCTCTGCACGTAAGTGTCCTCACCTGGGAAATGAGGGCATGGACCGGCTGCCTGTAAGGTCCCCTTATGGGTCTGTGGCAGCCTGTATTTTCCTAAAAAAAAAAAAAAATCACCCACAATAGTATTTCTAGAACAGTATTTTATGTGCTTCTAGTATGTTGTCCCTCTCCATCAAGATCTAGAGATTCTTTCCTTCCACGTGAATCTGACCAGGACACTGTGACTGCCTCACTGCACAGAATGCGGCAGAAGTACAGTGCAGGTCTTCTGGAGACAGATGATAACAGACGGCATAGCTTGCTCTGCTCTTGCTCTCCCAGATGCTTGCGCTGGGAGCCCAGATGCCATACTGTGAGAAAGCCCAGACTGATGTGGAGAGGCCACAGTGAGAGGATCGTAGGAACAACTCAGTCCACCAACCAAACCAGCATCGACTGCCAAACGCACAGGTGAGTGAGCCTTCAAATGATTCAAGCCCTGAGCCTTTTCTTCTGCTGAGACCTCAGGCATCATGAAGCAAAGTCAAGACATCAGCACTGAACGCTGTTCTGAGTCTAGACCCACAAAATGCATAAATAAAATTAATGATTGTTTGAGGGGTAAGCGATATATGGCCAGAGTAACTAGAACAAAGCCTAAAATTATACATGACTCTATAAATCACATTTTGTTCTCATTTTAATTGCTGCAAATGAAGTCTCCTTGAATTTTAAGGCCACTTTAGATAGGGTTGGCCCCCCCATGTGAGATTTATTTCACCTATCCTGCCTTTATAAAATCTGGCAGCAACTTTTGACTCAATAAGGGGAAAGAGAACTGGCGCAAATTATCTTGTATCAGTATTTACAGGTATCTCTCATTTGTTTTCATTACATGGTATGGGGGAGGGGGGTGGGGGGGTTAAAGGAAGGATTTTTCCAGGTTTTTGTTTTTTGTATACTGACCAAAAAGTGAAGGTTTATCTTAGTCTCACTTCAATCAACCTTCCTCTTGATGTCATGATTAAAATTATTTCCTCAGGTGATACCTGGTTCTCACAAAATATTTATCACTCTCTCTATATATATTATACAGTCCCACTTTCTCTTTTTAAATGTAAAGGCTTTATTAAAATATAATTCAAAGTCTAGATGCAGTAGCTCATGACTGTGATCTTAGTAGTTCAGGGGGCTGAGGCAGGAGGATCACTGGAGCCCAGCAGTTTAAAACCAGCCTTTTTTTTGAGAGACTCCATCTCTCCAGAAAAAAATTTTAGGCCAGACCCCATCTCTACAGGAAAAAAATTTAGGCCAGGCTTGGTGGCTCATACCTGTAATCTCAACACTTTGAGAGGCTGAGGAGGGCAGATCACTTGAGGTCAGGAGTTCGAGACCAGCCTGGCCAACATGGCAAAACCCTGTCTCTGGTAAAAATACAAAAACTAGGCCGGGTGCAGTGGCTCACACCTGTAATCCCAGCACTTTGGGAGGCCAAGGCAGGTGGATCATGGGGTCAGGAGATTGAGACCACATGGTGAAACTGCATCTCTACTAAAATACAAAAAATTGACTGGGTGTGGTAGCGTGCATCTGTAGCCCCAGCTACTTGGGAGGCTGAGGCAGAGAAATCACTTGAACCTGGGAGGCGGAGGTTGCAGTGAGCCAAGATCATGCCACACTGCACTCCAGCCTGGCGACAGAGCAAGACTCCGTCTCAAAAAAAAAAAAAAAAAAATTAGCTGGGCATGGTGGCACCTGCCTGTAGTCCCAGCTACTTGGGAGGCTGAAGCAGGAGAATCACTTAAACCTAGAAGGCAGAGGATTGCAGTAAGCTGAGACCGCACCACTGCACTGCACTCCAGCCTAGCCAACAGAGCAAGACTCAGCCTCAAAAATAATTTTTCTTTTTAAATGAGCCAAGCAAGGTGGCACCCATGTGTAGTCCCAGCTGCTCTAGGGGCCGAGGGAAATGGACCACTTGAGCCCAAAAGTTCAAGGTTGTAGTGCGCCATGACTGTGCCACTGCACTCCAGTCTGGGCAACAGAGCAAGACTCTATCTATATATATTACATATTATATATGTTACATTATTATATATTTTTATATTATATAAATATGGTATTTATAATATAATTCACATTCCATACAACTCACCCATTTAAAGTGTGCAACTCAGTGTTTACTACACACACAGTTGTGTAATCATCACCACAATCAATTTAAAACATTTTCATCATCCCAAAAAGAAACCTCTTCCCCTCAGCAGACACTTTACCTACCATGCCCAGCTAATTTTTAATTTTTTTTTTTGTAGAGATGGGATCTCACTATGTTGCCCAGGATGCTCTTGAACTCCTGGGCTCAAGTCATCCTCCTGCCTCAACCTCCCAAAGTGCTGGGATTACTGGCTTGAGCCACTACACCCAGCCCTGCCCACATTTTAATTGGGTTGTCTTTTTATTATTGAGTTGTAAATGTTCTTCACATACTCTAGATACAAGTCATTTGTGAGATACATGATTAACAAAATATTTTCTCCCATTCTGTGGGCTGTCACTTCTTGTTCTTAGTGGTGTCCACTGAAGCATAAATGTTTATCATTTTGATAAAGTCCCATTTATCTTTTTTTTTTTGAGAGGGAGTCTCGCTCTTGTCGCCCAGGCTGGAGTGCAGTGGCATGATCTCAGCTCACTACAACCTGCGCCTCCCAGGTTCAAGCGATTCTCCTGCCTCAGCCTCCTGAGCAGCTGGGATTACAGGCACATGCCACCACACCTGGCTAACTTTCGTACTTTTAGTAGGGACGGGATTTTGTCGTGTTGGCCAGGCTAGTCTCGAACTCGTGACCTCAGGTGATCCGCCTGCCTTGGCCTCCCAAAGCCTGCTGAGAGGCAGGCGTGAGCCACCGTGCCTGGCCTATCTATTCTTTTTCTTTTGTCATTTGTGCTTTTGGTTTCAGGTCCACGATGGCTTTGCCTAATTCAAAGTCAAGATGTATAGGTATGTTTTCTTCTAAGAGTTTTACAGTTTTAAATCTTACATTTAGGTCTAAAATCCATTTTGCGTTAATTTATAATATGGTGCGAGATAGGGGTCCAAATGCATTCCTTTGCATGTGAATATCCAGTTGTCCCAGCACCATTTGTTCAAAAGACTATTCTTTCCTCATTGAGTGATTCTGCCACCCTTGTCAAAAAACTAACTGACCAGATACATGGGTTTAATTCCAGACTTTCAATTCTATCTCGTTGATTGTGTGCCAGTGGCACACAATCTGAATCTGTAGCTTTGTAGTTAAGTTCTAAAATTAGAAAGTGAGTCCTCCAAGTTTGTTCGTCATTTTCAAGATTGTTTTGGGTATTCTGGGTCATTTGAATTTCCTTATGAATTTTAGGATCAGCCCATTCATTCAAAAAAGCCAGCTGGGATTTTTACGAGGACTGCATTGAGTCTGTAGGTCAATTTAGGGAATACTGCAGTCTTATAAATAATATTAATAAGTCCTCCAATCCATCAACACAGAATGTCTTTTCATTTATTTAGGTCTTCCTTAATTTCTTTCAACAATGCTCTGTAATATTCAGAGTATAAGTTTTACACTTCCTTTGTTAAATTTATTCAGTTCTGTTTTCTTTTACTATTTAGCTTCTTAATATATCACTATCTCAACCTCAATTAGAACCATTAAATATTAATTAGGAAAAAACTAATGATTTAAAGAAAGAATGGTGACAAAGATTCAAGGGCATTCAATACATAACCTGTCATTACATTACCATGAGTAGTTTTAATGTCTAGATATTTATTTCTGTGAAATATTTTTATGGGAAATACTAAGAAAACAAATGTGAACAACTAGGAAAGGAAAGCTCCATCCCCAACAGATGAACAGAAAGGTTACTAATGATTGATCAGACTGCAAGGCAATTACTAGGTCATGTTTGCTCATGGAAAAGTAACTATAGGAAAAAGTCAGTGCACCTGGTGTAACTAACTGCCTCTCTTCAGACTCACTCTCCAGTGCAGTGACAGATTTGGGTACCACAAAAGATGAAATACAGCAAATATCACAGAAGTCCAAAGATAACTGTAATACTTTGGGAAAATGTAAGCTCCATATGTTCCAGCCAAGTTTGCCAGAAATCTCTACACTGAAGTTTCAGGTACAGTCAAGAATCAAGGGTCGGCTGGGAGTGGTGGCTCACGCCTGTAATCCCAGCACTTTGGGAGGCTGAGGCGGGCGATCACAAGGTCAGGAGATCGAAACCATCCTGGCTAACACAGTGAAACCCCGTCTCCACTAAAAAATACAAAAAAATTAGCCCGGTGTGGTGGCGGGCGCCTGTAATCCCAGCTACTTGGGAGGCTGAGGCCAGAGAATGGCGTGAACTCAGGAGGCAGAGCTTGCAGTGAGCCAAGATCTCACCACTGCACTCCAGCCTGGGTGACAGAGCGAGACTCTGTTTCAAAAAAAAAAAAATAATCAAGGGTCACTCTGCTTTCCTTTGCCATTGTTCCTTATGAACATACATCACCCTAAAGCCCAGTGGAAAAAAGATATAGAGATTAATAGGATGGCACACAATTCAGAAACTCTAGA